TTTTCTAGTTTTGATTTAAGTTTGCTTGTTTAGCATCGTCACAGTTGCTAGGTGACATGATGTAAGGACGGGACGCTAGACCGTCCAAATTCACAGCCTCTTTTTTTCCGGTCTTCCCGGTCTACCAAGGACTCGGCCCACCTCGATCAGGTAGTCTGGGTCCTCCGGAGGACCCGGCCTGTCGTTTTGGACACAGCCAGAGATTCCCGACCAGCCCCGACCACAAAATCCAACATGGCTGCCTTACAGGGTGCCAAATGTCAAAATTCAACAGGAAACAAAAGAGAGCACTTTCTTCAAATTTAGTGTGTTTTTCTCACATTTAATGGGAAATGCTAATTATAAATAATATATCTATATCTAAATATTACATCTATATGTCTATAATAAATTTATCTCTGCCTCCACCATTTATATCTGAATTGATTTCTAAATTTTAAATCTAAATATCTCTTTTAAAGCTTCAATCTATTCATTTAAAAACAAATTCTATATATAATAAAAATACAAATAAGTGAAATGAAAGGCAAATGATAACTGGGGGGACTAATGGTCTGTCATTGCAGCCTACAGAACCCTGTGGACATCTTAAATCTTATATTTATTAACCACGCCCCCTCTACATCTCAACTCATGGCCACGCCCCCACGCAATGTGAAACACACCAATCAGCCTCGTGCATGAAAAGTTATGATAATAACTTTTAGTTTTAACTGTTTTGTTTCTCAATAATCCATCACTGATGTTGAATTTGTTGCCAACATGGACCCGTCAGTGACTGGTTTGATGAGAGTTTGTTGTACAGTTACAGTAAAATCCCTCTGCAGAGCTGGAAACCTTCAGGTGCTTCCTCTGTTGAGCTGGAGGACAGGAAATGACATCTTCACCCACCGTGTCAGATGTTTCCTGCTGCTGAACATCCAAACGATGCAAAACCGGCGACTCCACCTGAGCACCGCCCCAGCAGGGACTGAAGGGAGGCGGCACCGTTTGGAAGTCATCCCAGCTTTAAACTTGTTTCAGTTCATCTGAAACATGTTTGATGAGGTTCGGGTCAGAACTGTGTGGACCGGTCCAGTCCTACTCCAGACCTAATGAGTGTTTCACTGCATGATGGAAAAAAGAGGTGGAACTGTGACAGAATTCATTCCTGAAATGTGAAAACATTTTACATTTTTTCTCTGCTCCAACACACCTGATCCAGTCACTGAACTACCTCTTCATGTTCTGCAGTATGGAGGACCGACACTGACACAATTAAAAATAAAAGCAGAAATAGATAAATGAACCTTTAAATAAATAAATACATAAAATTCACCAAATAAATTAAAAAGGAGAACTTTACCTCTTGTTTAATAATTAATTTGACCTTCATATTTATTTTTGCAGCTTAGTTCCAATCAATTATATATTTTAACACGTAATTTAAAGTTTTTTAATATGTATTACATAGGTTTTCCTTTTGCTTGTACATGCATTTGTGTCTCTTGAATGCTTAAATTGAATTATTTTTATAATTTTGTCCAACAAGTCTTTTTATTTCTATGTGTTGCATGCTTGTGCTGCCGTAGTTTAGCTTAAAATTTAGTTAAAATAAACGCGCAGGTGATGTTTTCCTCCTTGCCTTTGTTTTAAACTAAACTTTTAGCTAAACTGAGGCAACACAAGCATGCAACACATAGAAATAAAAAAAGACTTGTTGGAAAAAAGTATAAAAATAATTAAGCATAAACATTTAAGACATACAAATGCACAAAAAGGAAAAACAATTAATATATATTAAAAAATCTGTAGTGTTAAAATATATTGGAACTAACCTGGAAAAATAAAAATGAAAGTCAATTAAAATATAAAACAGGAAATAAAGTTCTTTTTTAATTTTATTGGTGCATTTTAAGTGTATTTATTTAGTGGTTCACATAATTCTGATTTTATTTCTAATTATGTCGGTGTTGGTCCTCCGTACTGCAGAAGCCTGATAATCATCTATTCCTTCGGATCAGGTGTGTTGGAGCAGAGAAACAAGTAAAACATGCAGGACTGACCAGGCCTGCTTTATACAGTTTGAATAAAATCTGCTGTWTTTCCAGCGTCAGTGTGTAACCTAACAGCAGATAGGACCCTGTCAGAGTGTTTACACAAAGAGTTGACTGTTCCAGGATCCTCAAGTTCATTTTCCAAGGGTCACTTTGATTTCAGCACTCTGCAGCAAACCCAACAAACCCTATAATGCTCACATTTCTCCTGCCGAACCTGCTGCTGGCGTCCTGTGCGTGGCCTGGACTTGTGCTGGGGGATCTGGTGTTCAGATGTCCCAGCTGCACGGCGGAGGACCTCCACGCCTGTCCCAAGGTGAGCCCGGGTTGCACGGAGGTGGTGAGGGAGCCGGGCTGCGGCTGCTGCCCGCTGTGCGCCAGGCTGGAGGGGGAGCCCTGCGGGGTCTACACCCCCAGGTGCTCCACGGGCCTCAGGTGTTACCCCGACGTGGACGCAGACTTCCCCCTGCAGGAGCTCATCCAGGGCTCGGGCCGGTGCAGGCAGAGGCTGGACCTGGACGTCACCACAGGTGTGGACTGGCAGCCAACGTACGGTGAGAACCAAACACGTTTTATAATTAATAAAAACAACGTCTAACCACCGGAGGGATCCACTGGATCCATGTTTGAGTTTTTGTTTCGGCTGTAATGATCTGTCTCTGGATCCTGCTGAATGTCTCAGTCCACCTGATCAGACTCGGGTCCAGAGGTGGACAGTCCTGGTCCTGGTGGGCCTCTGTGCATGTTTTACTTGTTTCTCTGCTCCAACACACCTGAGGTTGTTTTTAAGGGGGACGCATTCAAATAAGAGAAATATTTTTGATTTGAAACTCATGGCTGCAAACTGGCAGTTTTAAGAAAAACTGAGCTGAAATTCTTTGGTTTATTGGTTTAGAACTTTATTTCATTCAACAGACAAATAATTAAAC